ACGAAACCCCTAAGACTAGACTTTTCCTTTTTTTTTTTTTTTTTTTTTTGGTTTGGTGGAGGAGATAATTAGGTTTGTGTATTTTTTTTTTTAGGAGGAAGGACTGGGGATTGAACCCAGGACCTCATGCATGCTAAGCACGCACTCTACCACAGAGCTAGACCCACACCCCCCGGGTTGCTTCTACCATCGAGGCCCAGCATGTTGTAGTTTAAGTCACCCTCACATCATCTGGCGAAATGGAGGAACAAGAAGAAAGTTGGATGAAGGTGAAAAGGAGACTCACCACCCAAGCCCAGGAGGGACGTGAACTCCCCAGGCTTCACTGGCTTGAAGAAGCCCCACAGCCACCTTCCCAGGCAGGGCAGCTGGACCACGTGAAAAGGCAGGAGCAGGGTGGGCGGGGGGAAGGTCCTGGGTCTCCGATGGCCCTGCTGGCAGCTGTGGTGTCATCCCTTGCTCGTCATCATGGGAGAAATGAACTCCCATGGTTTCAGGCAGCGTTAATCACCTCGTCCGCAGCTGCTATCGCACTTCACTGATACGGAGCGTGAAGCAAGGTCTATGAGCACAGTTTACGGGGAAGAGAAATTAAATAAAGGAAAATAAAAAAGAACAAGGTCCTACTGCATTGCACAGGGAACTACATTCAACACCTTGGAATCACCTAAAATAATGGACTATGAGAAAGAATATATATACAAATAACTGAATCACTGTGCTGTACACCAGACACTAACACAACATTATAAATCAACTATACTTCAAATTAAAAAAAAAAAAGAGGAGGAGGAGGGTGGGGAGGGTAAAGCTCAGCACCAGAGCGTGCGCTTGGCATGCATGAGGTCCTGGGTTCAATCCCCAGCACCTCCATTAACAAAAAGATAAAAATAAAGGAAAAAAGAAAAAAAGCAGGGACATGGCAGGAAGGTGCCTCGGCTCGAGAGGGCGGCTCTGCTGCAGAGTCCAAGCTTGCACTGCTTGCCCCAGGACATGCTGAGCAGAGATGTGCTGGGGCAAGGGAAGCTGGCAGGCCGAGGGAAGCTGGCAGGCCGAGGCGATGGTGAGATACGCCAGAGACCATCTTCCCAGGGTTAGAATTCAGGCTCCTTTTACACTAGAAGAGGAGAGGGTTAAGGGCTGGTTCCAGCCAGACTCTGGAGGGGACGAGTTCATTTCTTCATCCCAGCCTGGTCAGGAGGTTTCCTGTGAGCTCAACAAAGTTATTTTAGCTGAATGCTTGTTACCCAGGAGGCAGGGTTCCCAGACATGGGCCATTGTGTGTCATTTAAGCTAATGAGCAACACCCTTTTCGTGAGTAACTTCTAATAGGACACGGAGGCTCTTCCCAGTCACAGCTCCCGCATGCCGTCTGAGGTTATGGGGGTTCAGCTGTCCTTTGTCTTTTAAGAGGAGCAGCGAGAAGCACCTGCACCCTGAAAAGTTGGCCAGGACAGCAGATCCCTCCGAAACTTGACAGACGGGAATGTGTGGCATCAGGGTGACTCCGCCATCCACACAGGATGGGTGCAGACCTCGTCCAGAGCCATAGCTCTGCCCAGCCCTGCGGACGGCATCCTGCCCGCCCAGCTGAGCACCTGCCCGCCCAGCTGAGCACACACGCTCCGGCCCCGCAGTCCCTTGAGGCAGCTTTCCTTTCATTCTCAGACCACAGTTGTAACAGCTGCATTCAAGTCTAGCTTAGGGGGGCCCCGACAGTTGTTGATTCGGTTTAGAAAAGCTTCATTGTATGTGGGAGCAGGCAGGAGAGGCTGAGGATTGAGCAACCTGACCTGCAACCCCTCCTCACCCCCAAGAAAGTTATCTTGGACCCAAGAGCAAGAGCAAGGTCCTCAGCTCCAGGCTCAGTGCTGGGGGCCCTGGGCCTCCAGGCCAGGGTCAGCTCCCCCCCAGAAGGCCGTGGGGCCCCCCGGGCCCTGGGGCAGGGCCACAGGGAGCTCGTGCCGCCTCCCTGGCTCCGCTCCCCTGCCGGCCACTCAGGTCTAATTCCAGGAGTGGCTGAGGTGGCTTTTCCCAGCAGCATCACCTTACAGGCACCCAGGGAGCGCTTGTGCCTCAGGAAAAGTCTGCCACTCTCCTCCCCTAGAACTTCCCATGACCAAGAGCCTAATCTCTCGACAAAAGAGAACAGCCTCCCGTCTCAGAGCCCCACCAGTCACGCAATAATCCCGTGATATGGGGGTGGGGTGGGCAGGAACCGCAGGCTTTTTCCCATCAGAGAAGCTGTCGGCTCCCCCAGGGGCAGGTGCCGATCCCAGGGAGCCAGGAGCCTCTGGGGAGGGGGACCCCTGCCAACAACCCCGGCCCTCAAGCCTCTCTCTCATTTCTCCAAAAGCCTGGGGTCAAGCCAGGAACAAGTCAGCTTCCCAGAGGGCTGAGCCCTCCAGAGTGGGGCCAGGGCTTCCAGGAGGTGGGAGATGCGGGCGGGGGCGGGATGTCCTGAGGACTGAGACTCGGCAGTGAGTGGTCCTCCCCCAGTCCAGCCACATCAGCTACTGCCGGGCACGGCCCTCCGCCCCTGGGCCCACTGCACGCGGAGTCCCCTCCCTGCATGTCACTGTCCCCTCCGAGACTCTGAGCCCCGACGGCAGGGTTGGGACTCAGCCCTGCTGGTGAAGAAAAGAGCCAACAAGCACAAGCTGACATGAGAGGGACCAGGAAGGGTGGCCCCAGCTCGATGGCGGGGCCACAGGTGGTGGCCCAGGTCCTCAAGGGAGGCGTGCACAAAGCCCTTCCTCAGGGTGCCGTGAGCTCAGACCCCTCTAAACACACACGCGGTGGGGGGTGCGCATGGCAGGAAGGGCCCCATGCTGAGTCACAGACACTCCTGGAGGCAAGGGCCCCCCCCACCCGCGCTGGGCTCCTGGGGCAGCCTGAGCCTGGGATCCCCCTCCCTGCGGACAGACCTGGACGGCCACGCCCCCAACAGGGTCAGCTCAGCACAGTGGCCCTGGCTGGCTGCCGGCTACACAGAGACTGTCTGGAGAGCTGGAAGGACCAGCACAGTGTCCAGGAAAGTGGGGGCTGGGAGGCCTTAGGTCTCTTCAACTTCCTCATTGTCCAGAAGAAGGCAAAATATGCCATCGAGGTGGTCCTTGGGTTCTCTCCCAGAGGGCGAGCGTTTCCCCAGGCCCACCCACGGGGACCTCCTGTGTCTGTGTGTCCCCATGTGTGTGTCCCCTCTTGTGTGCACACACGAGTGGTGACGGGAATGGTGACCTGTGCCCAGTGACCTGGACAGGTTTCCTCTCCCTCCCAGGGTCCCCTCCTGCTTTTTCTCAGCTGCACCTGCCTCTTGCTTCCTCCAGGAAGTCGCCCTGCGGTGCCTGAGGCCTGATGCTGCCCGGGGAGTTAAACTCCACTCGAGGACTCTTGCCCTGTGTCAAGGAGGCCTCGCTGTCAACAGCGCTTTCTTGGTCACAGCGCTGCGGACAAGAACAAGCCACTTCCACCCATCTGGGACGTGGGCCGGACGAGGAGCCGGGGGTGGGGACCTGGACCGCTGTGAGGGTAGCCCGCAGCCCTGCTCCTGTTCCCCGCCCCGCCCGCTCGACTGCAGGCTCCCTGTGCAGACGCGGGTCACGGCCTGTGCTCTGTGCAGCCACAGCGTGTGGCTATCACCCTCGTTTTAGGGTGTGTCGTTCGTTCATTCACTCTGCAGACACATGCTGGAAGCATCTCTCACAAGTGCCAGGGAACAGGGGGTGCAGAGGACGCAGGTGATCGCAAGGCAGAGGGAACATGAGTGACTGAGTGGCCAGAGGGCTGAGAGTCAACACCTGAGGTGCCAGAGCCCAGAGGGGGAGCCCTCAGAGGAGCTAACACCCCAGCTGGGCCCAGAAGCCAAGAAGTTGGAGGGGAGCCTGGCAGGGAGTGGAGGTGGCCTGGCCTGGGGGAGGGGGACCTGGGGACATGGTCAGACCAAAGGCTCCCCGTGCGGTAGAGCCAGTGGGCCTGGTGGGCACCGGGCAGGAGCAGTGGAGGATGAGGAAGGGTCTGGAGCAAGAGGGGGCCCTGGACTCAGCTTGGCCTGCAAGAAGGGGCAGCGCCAGGATGGGCCACAGGAGCCCAGTAGGTCCCGCTGCTCCCAGACTCCCGTGCTGGGAGACAGGCTTGGTTTCCAGGCCCAGAGGGTGTGGCCCGTCTCCCAGACACCCAAGTTCCCACAGTCGGCTAGAGTGACCCACCGACCTCAGGAAAGTGTGGTACTTGCGATCAGTACCGTAACAGAAGGATTCAGCACTCAGCTGAAGGAAGAGACGCAGAGGACAGAGTCTGGGAGGGTCCAAACACGAGCCTGACTGCGGCCAGACGTGTGACAACACACACGGAGTACTACCCCCGGGGAAGCTCGTGGTGTTTGTATTGTTGCGGTACTCACTGGGGCCTTATCACCTTCTGCCCACGTGGCTGGCTGTCCTTCAGACCCAGCTGTTCCCAGAGGTCAGAAATGACACGCGCTTTCCCAGAGCCCCGAGCACAGATCGCACATTGGACCATCAGGTGGGCAAGACCCCCAGCAACCAAGATGCTCCCATCAGGCAGGACATTGTGGGGCCCGGAGATCCCACCCCAGACGAGCAGGCCAGGGCCAGACCTCTCTGAGCAAAGCTAACCCATCCAACACACTGGACGCGAGAGAGCCGCGGTTTTGGCACACAGGCTAATGCGCATGGGCCCAGCCCCAGGGAGGGGCTCGTGGCTTGCCCCGTGCGCGTCGTGGACACAGAGCGTGAGCCAACGTACAGGGTTACTCCCTTTGCTTCAGGCATGAGCACACAGCTTTCCTTTTGGAGACTCAGACGAGCCCGCGTCAGGAGCCGGGGGAGCTGGGGCGAGGCGGTGGGGGGCCTCTGCACACCCTGCCCTGGGGTGCAGGCACCCCCTCCCCTTTCCCCTCACCTCAGGGCCATAGCCTCTGACCCCAGGGTAGAGGGCAGCCTTTGAGGGACGATTCTGGAGGGTGAAGAACCCAGAATCTCAAGAGCAGAAAACCAGTCCGCAGTGCAGTGTGGGGCCAGTGTCGGAGCTGTGTTGGCTGTGGGGTGTGTGCTGGGCGTGCGGGGTGTGAGGCCCTCTGCCCCTCTCCTGGGGCTGGCTGGTACCCACTTGCTGGAGCAGTGGGTTGTGTCCGCCACGAGGCCTCCCAGCCCCGGAGCCCGCCTGGTCATGTGCCCTGGGCTCCCAGCTGACACATCACAGGGTAGGGTGGTCGCCTCTAAGAGCCCGGGGGGGAGGGACATTCCCACCGAAGGCCTGCATGAGGGACCTGAGAGCATCTGGGGTAGCCACAGAGGAGATGCTGCTTTGCTGGGGGATACTTCCAAAGCCAGACTCAGCATCTCAGCCTGAATCACAAGCTGAATTCCTAACCCAGCAGGGACCGTGTCCTTAAAGCTGCAGCATCAGCTGGTAAGGAGTGAGCCTGGGACAGTGGGATGGGGGCCCACTCCGCTGTGCTGGGCCTCCTCTCCCAGTGGAAGCAGCCCTTCCAGCCCCTTCCCTGGAGCCCAGTCTGGGCCGCTTTGCCTGAAGAACCTGAGACCGCCACCCTGAGGTGCCTTGCAGGGAACCGCTGGTCCTTCAGAGCACCCAGCCCTCCGCCTCTCCTGCTTCAAACCCTCAACCAGACTCAAGTCTCAGGAGGGCCCAGGGGGTGACAGATGCAGTGAGACCCACAAAGGGCGTGAGGCACACACAAGAGGAACTGCGTGGCCTTGCTGACTTACATCCACAGAAACAGGAGGAAATCATGTGGAAGGAACAGAAGGTTGCATGAAGCTGGCTGTGGGCACACTGAGCAGAGCCACCCATCCTGTGGGTGACTGCAAGCAGCAGGGTTAGGACTCTCCGGTGCGCTCAGTTCGTCGGCCAACCTAGACCCCACGGTGCGGTCGGGGTTGGCAGGTGTAGGGGGCCAGCCTTGAGCACAGTGTGCCTTGGTCATCACCCCGGGGCACTGGCCCAAGGCTGCAGGGGCCAGCTCCAGGCCACCTTCCCCTAGCAGCCAGGAAGGGGCATATTACCCACACCAGGGTTTCTTTTTAATTTATTTTCCAAAACCGAGGATGGAGCTTCTGGCTGGCATCTTTGGGTTGTGGGTGAGGAGGGTGGCCCCTTCCAGGGAGGCAGGTTTCTGTGTACAAGGAAGCAGTGCAAGGCGGCCTGGTGCTGCCTGCCTCGGGCCAGCCCACACACCACACCCCACTGCCACCCAGCCCGCTCCAGCCCAGGCTTATAAACCCTCCACGCCTGCCTCTCCTGTTGGACAGAGGCTTGGAGTTGGCATCATGCAGCTGAATTTCAGTGGCCTTCGGGCCCTGGTGACAGGGGCAGGGAAAGGTAGGTGTGAGCTGGGCAAGTGGGGGTGTGGGAGAGGCCAGACCTAAGGCCTCACAGTCCCATGTTGGGGGTCTGCGTGTCCCTTCATGCCTGTCACAGCCTGTCCTGCCAGCACCTGCCCCCCGACTCCACCCACCGAGCCACAGACCGGGGCCTGGGCCGCTCCCCGCCACCCAGCAGGCCCCACTGGGACCGGACATGAGCCCCTCTCTGCTCAATGCAAGGCCCCTCCAGAAAGGGCAGCCTTCAGACTGGGCAGCCCAGGTCTCTTTCCCCAGCCTGGCAGGAAGGAGCTGCCCTCTGGGCCTCCCTTGGCCAGACCCCAGGTGCTGGGCCTCTGATCCCCACCACCTCCTGGGCCAGCGCCCTCTCACTGCTCTTTCCTGAGCAGCAAAGCTGCAGCCCCCAGCCCCAGACTTGACCCAGACGTGTTGGGCCATCTGCCTGCCATCTGCACCCCTGCAGGGATTGGGCGCGACACTGTGAAGGCCCTGCATGCCTCAGGAGCCAGAGTGGTGGCCATAAGCCGCACCAAAGCCGACCTGTTCAGTCTCTCCAAGGAGGTGAGGTGTGCAGCCCCCTGCAGCCCAGGCCCGTGACCCTCAGAACCTGCCAGAACCATCCCTTTGGTCACTGGCCAATGCCTCCTCTCAGTGCCCGGGGATAGAGCCTGTGTGCATGGACCTGGGTGACTGGGAGGCCACAGAGCAGATGCTGGGCGGCGTGGGCCCCGTGGACCTGCTGGTGAACAACGCTGCCGTGGCGCTGATGCGCCCTTCCTGGAGGTCACCAAGGAGGCCTTTGACAGGTGGGGAGTGGGAGAGGAGGTGGACTGGGGAGAGGGCTGCTGAGGAGGCAGAGCGGGCATGGCCACTGTCTGTCTGTCTGCAATGCCCCTAGGTCCTTCGATGTGAACCTGCGCTCTGTGTTCCAGGTGTCCCAGGTGCGCCGGTGGGAGGGTGTGGCTTAGCACGGACGTGGCCCAGGTTGGGGTGCGCTGGGTGGGGTCAGGCTGCCCCCTCTCTTGGCTTCCAGATGGTGGCCCGAGGCATGATTGCCCGCGGAGTGCCTGGCTCCATCGTCAATGTCTCCAGCATGGTGGCCCACGTCACCTTCCCCAACCTAGCTGTCTACAGTGAGTCCCTCTGCCCAGCCTGGACTCCCCCAGAACCCCACTCCATGCAGGAGCCGCTGGACTCCCGGGCTGGGCCGCACGCAAAACGGGCTGAATCCCTAAGGGCCCTTGGTGCTGCGCTCTGTCCACAGGCTCCACCAAGGGCGCAATGACCATGCTGACCAAAGCCATGGCTTTGGAGCTGGGGCCATACAAGGTGCGTGTGGCGGCGCTCGGGGCGCCGGGGGCCCGGACCGTGGGGGGGAACCGGTGGTGGGTAAGGCTGGGGGCTGGGGGCGAGGACTGGGCAGAGGGTGTCAGAGGTACGTGGGGGCTGTGGGGCGAGGCTCGTCGGCCACCTGAGGCTGCCCCTCCGGCCTCCCCGCCCCAGATCCGGGTGAACTCCGTGAATCCCACGGTGGTGCTGACGGCCATGGGCCAGCTCGTCTCGGCAGACCCCGATT